TTGATTCATAGGGTTACTATGTGATCTATACAGGATTTATCCTGTCTAAAGCTTCGTCTATTCTCATCTAACCTTGAATCTACTGCTTTCTTTATTCTGTCAAGAATAATGCAAACTTTACTTGGGACTGACGTCATTTGAATGCCCCTCCAGTTTTTGCACTGACTGAGGTCTCCTTTCTTTGGCAGATTCACTATATGACCCTTTCCCCACTCATTTGGTTTTTTTTTTTCTTCTTCCCATAGCTTTTGTAAGAGGCCTATCAAAATGTCATAGTCATGAAAAACGTTGGTGGCACAATAAGATTGGCAATGACAGACCTAAGATGGTCTTACTGTTCAGACTAAGGACCTAGCTAGAGATTGATCGGGGTGCCATTTGACCTGCAAAGAGGCTACATCCCTTTAGGATTTGTCTCTGATGATAATAAAAGTAAGGCCCATTACCAATCCTAATATGGTCGTGCATAATACTCAATACTTCAGTAATATCTTCACATATGCTGTTCTTTGCACCACAGCTATATCCCACATAGTAGAAGCTGACGAGACTATCGCCTGTTTCTGATTGCTCCTGTTCTTACCATGAATTAATGGTGACAGAGGCAGCAGACAGATACAGCAAGAAGAGGAAATAACAGAAGGCATTTCCACTATGAGGAATATGGGGAGAAAGGTGAACAGAATCAAACTTTGGACCAAAAACTGTGGAACTGGAAATGTCTACATTTAAAATCCTGTTCATACTGCAGCCTTTAGTCCACGGAAAGAGGATAATGTGGTTTGCAAGATTTTAAAACGGCTACAGATTTATTAGAGCCCATTTACATTAACACTTGTACGGGGCCTTGTCTAGCACAAGTAAAATAATCTGTGTTCTGATATGTTGGTATAGTGGTTGGGAGTTACAGGACTGTGTTATAACTTAGGTCATTAGTCCTCAAGATAGGTCTATAGCTGTTGTCCCACCTAAATGCAAAAGAAAACCTTAGGTTAAAACCTGGCCGTGTCTTAGGTGTGAACTGGTATGGTCAGACATGTAGTATAGACGGGCTCTTCGGAAGAAGTGAAAAGCTTCATGTGTTTAATTTTTCAAATCACCTAGATGAGAGAAGGGAAAGAGTTGTCAGAAAGCAGGGCCTCAAAAAATATGGATTTATACTAACTTGGCTGGACTCAGTTTGAAAAATAGCATCCTTGAACACTTCTATGCTGACCCAAGATTTTGTGATGAAAACACCTGGAAGAGGAACATAAACATTCACTAACTGAGTTAATTTTTACCTGGGAAGCAAATAAAAAGTTTTCTATATGGAAAAATAGTGATCTGCTGTGGTCTTTTGTCATTATATACAAATAAGTTTTTTTCTCTTGGTGAATCTGGTAGGAATAAATATACAAAACAAGCTGCCTTTTGACTGTATGTAGAATGCAGAAATCCAGCTATAATTAGTTTTAAAGCTTCCTATGCAGCATCTGGTAACAACCACTGTTGGAACTAAGATATAGTCTGACTAGAGATGAACTATAGCCGGTAAGCATGTGGCAACTTCTGTGTACCTATAACCCTTACTGGATAATTCTGAAAAGCATCTCAGTGATTTGCCAGTGTAAGGAGGCTGTCTGTGCGATATAAATAACCTTTGTGGCAGAACTGTTGCTTTAAGTTATTACCTTTGTTAAGATACACCTACACTCTGAGCTAGGGCTGTGATTCCTGGCTCGTGTGGCCATATTCTCACTAGCTCTCATCTGAGCTAGCATACTAAAAAGAGTAGCATAGCCACAGTAACACGGGCAGTGGCAGCCTGGGTTAGGCACCTCGAGTACAAACCCACCTGAACCGCAGGGGTATATATTTGGAGCGACTAGCCCGTGCCACTGCTGCCCGTGGTACTGTGGCTTCACTACTATTTATAGCATGCTAGCTCAGAGGAGAGCTAGCAGAAGTATATCTATGCGAGCTCGGAATTGCACCCCTTGCTTGGAGTGTAGACGTATCCTAAGAGAGGGGAGAAGATTATTTATCTGGAAGCACTGGACGAAGTGCTACATACTTGTGCAACATGTTTTTCCTGGATGCTGGCCCAGCTCTGCTGGCAAGTCCATAGATGGGAGGGAATGACTTTTCCCTTCCCCTGTCCCTTTGAGTTAATTTCCAGTCCCTGGCATGCTGGGAACTCAAAGACTGGGATTATACATGGCCCCTGGACCGATTTGTTGCTACTCTTTGTCCTACACTTATGCAGGTCTAGACACAATTTGTTCCTAGGAGTTTTTCACGCTTCATGGTGTCAAATAATCAAAGAGACAAGCTTGGATCTTATTATATTTAATTCAATATCCTATTTCATCAGATTTTACTGAGTATATTATAGGTGGATAATAACCATAACAAAGTTCAATAGTTTTTCTCTTCCTTCTTGAGCTTTTATATCCAAATTCCAAATGAATATTGTTTGTTATTGGTGGTTCCCAGATTCTCCATTACCTTTGCATCTTATATTTCTGTTTATCCTCATTGTTGCTTAATACCAAATCTCATAAAGGTTCCCTTTCTTATTTATGCACATATTGAATAGAAAATCATTCCTGTACCAGATATGCATGCAACACTGCCAATCATTTTCCTCCTCTTAATGTCATTTACTCTGTACATGTGTAATTAAAGTCTCCAGTAACTAGCAATTTGGCCATTTTACGCACTAGTGCCATGTGTGCAATCATTTAATAATCCAGTCATTCTATCTCGTTGGGGGGCCTGTAATATGCTGTGCTGCTATTATCATGTTACTCCTTAAAACATCTCTAATCTCAAACCGTGGCTTTGTGCGATGTCATGGTTCTGTCATTTCCTCTTTTTAATTGTTTTCCTTAATTATGTTAATGCTACACTTTCTCTTTCTCTGAAACACCAGATGATCACTTTAAATCCCTAGGTTTTGTCTAGGCCAACGCTCTTATACTCTTGGTTCAAGGTTGAGATTTATTGAGCGCTTGTGGATTACTGCTAATTTTAGCTGGACTGTTTGTATAAATACCCATCAAAGTGCCTAGAATAATAGATAGACACCCATTTAATAGGTTTTTAAAATAATGGCCATTCAGAAGCAAAGAGGTTATGAAAATGCGATGTGTAAATCTTTGTAAAGAAATGAATAGATCAGGGAGAATATATTTTTTCTTTTTTTAGGTATATAACAAATGTGAAATAATTAAGGGACTGAGTCTGAGGAAAGTTTAATAGAGCTACATAAGGGAAAGTACAACTTGTCTAAGTGATAACCAGCCAGGATGAGAAGTAAAAGATATAAGTGATTACAGGTATTTGAAGAGTATAAACACCAAGGGTGGAGTGGAACTGTTTAAAAGGGGCAAACATAGTAAGTGCTCTGATCCAGTGATGAGGGATGAAAACCTATGTGGACCAAAAAAAAAAAAGGGTATGTAACAGAGTAGGGTCACAGAAATTAAAGATGGAAAAGCCCCATCAGGAAAATATAGACAGGAGATCAAGAACCCTTCCTAATGGTGAAATCTGTGGAATAGTCTTCTATGGTATGTGCTGAAAGGAGCAATCCTTTACTGGCAGCAAGATGAACTAAAAGATCTGTTAGGTTTCTTTCATCTCTAATTACATGAAAGCTACAAAATAAAAAAAGCTGTAGTGTGAAACTGTGAAGCTAGATACCATGGTTAGTACCTAGATACCAGAATGATTTGGGTGCTTCATAAATAGACTAGATAAATATGTCACTTCACCCACACCTCACCTAGTATTCTCATGTGTCATCAAAATGAGGCCCCAGGGCAAAAAATATTGGTTTTTTTGGGGGGAAAGCCACTGTAAAAATGGCTTTCGGTCCATTGACCTAAACTGTGTTACAAACAAGAACTTTTATGTTTGTTACTGACTTTGGGGTAGAGGGAGGGACTCGCTTAGCTGCACAGACAGAATTCAAAAGTGCTGTTATACTGGCAACTGCCAAGAGCTAGATATACTCGGTTCTTCAAATTCCCCAACAAGGAGTGAAGCCCTGGTTGGAGTGTGAACCAACAGGTACAGGAATGTTCCCAGGTGGGAATAATTAATGACAAAAGGAATCACCTGCTTCCAAATCAGCAGCATTCCGTTCTGTCCCAGCTATGAGCTGATCTCATCTGCAACTGCTCCAGATGCTTACACTTATCTTTTCAGTGTTTCCAGCTCTCCTGAGTCCTGCAATATTTGCTGGTTTTCCTTTCCTGTTGCAGAGAAAAGCTTGAAAAAAAAATGGACCCTCACAAAAACCTAGACAAATAAAGAGAATCCAAAATGTATTTTTAAGCTCATAAATGTTAAGCCTACTGTTGTTTTGGTTTGGGTGTTTTGGGTGGCCTGACTCATGATTTTTGGATGCTTGGGGTTGACATTGACAATATTTTTCTCTTTAAATGCAGTGGAAGCTTGGGGAAGGAGGGTGTCCACACCTCATGGGCCAGGAACCTAAATAACCCTCTCACCCTTGTCTGATTAGTCCCATTGCAATGTTGATATTTGCATTTAAGCTTCTGTGCGCGCGGGAAAGTTTTTTTTTTTGGTCCCGGTGCTGCTCTGGTGCATCAGGCTAGGTCACTCCTGGTTACTGTGGAAACTAACTGAGCACCGCTTGAACCCCCCCAAGGCAAGCCTGGGATCAATGGCGAGAGAGTCACAAAGTAATGTCTAGAGGGTGGGGTCTGGAGGCAACATTGTTGCTGCCCAGTGGCGCTCTCGCTTCTGCAGCCGTAGCAAGCGGGGAATGGACCGAGAGCAGAACTGGGCGCCTCCTCACCAAGTCAATCCCCGCTGGCGCGCGCACACGCGTGGAAAAGGCACCGCCGTGGCGGCCGGAAACGCAGTTTCCTTGTAACTGTATCCGCGGGGACTTCGCTGGCAGCTCCTCCCCCCCCCCCCGCGGGCCTGTGCTGGGGCGGGGCTTGGACGTCAGGCTCGCCAGTGTCTGCACATGGCCGCGCGAATGATCTGAGCCGTGTGGGGCTGGGCGGAGGCACCAGCTGCCCATTTGGTTGTGGTTGTCGGGCCGGTGTGTTGGGAAGGGGGTGAGCGCAGCCGAGCCTGGGGTAGCTCCGGCCAGGACTGAGCGAACGAGCTGTGACTTCTCCCCCCCCCTCCCCTTGGCTCCAGCTTCGCTGAGGATTTCTAGAGATTGTGGTTTTTTTATTATTATTATTTTATTTTAAGCGATAGAGAAAATGTCTCGACTTCTCCCTTTGAACCCAACTTTCCTACCTCCGACTTACGGGGTGCTGAAATCCCTGCTGGAAAACCCGCTCAAGCTGCCGCTCAATCACGAAGACGGTGAGGCGTAGAAAGTTGCTTATCTATAAATTTTTTTGGGGTGTGTGTGAGTCCAATGAATGTTAAAGGCAACGTAATATTGTAACTCGTTAGTCCCAAATAGGGTGGCCAGACAGCAAGTGTGAAAAACCGGGACAGGGATTGGGGGGGTAATAGGAGCCTATATAAGAAAAAGACCCCAAAATCGGGACTGTCCCTAGAGAATCAGGACATTTGGTCACCCCCAAGTGCATGCCTGTCAGGATGCTAGTGCCAAACCGCTGCGTTTCCAGTGCAGAATTCCCCTCTTTCAGCTGCTCAATAAATTCCCCTTGAGAGTTCTGCAGAGTTAGAAAAGCAGATATCACCTGCCTACCGTTCAGCTGTGAACCCCAGGAAAATTTAGCTTTTGCAAGATTCGAATACTTTTATTCTTGAGATAAAGACAGTATGATACGAATGATAAACATGATCAATCAGGAATGAAAGACAACTGTCTTTCTTTTGAATCAATGCATAGCGATCACTTTCTAGTTAGGCGATGGGCACTAAACGGCATGTCTTCAGAAAATAAATAAATTCCATCTGTACTGAATGAAGACGGACTTATTAGGAAGGAGCAGACAGCACAGCTTCAAAATTTCCTTCCAGAAACGAGTATATATTCTGGGTGACTGAAGTTTGAGCATTTTTTTTTTTGGTTTTGTGGCAATTTTACTGCCTGACTTTGCACCTTTTTTTTAATGAACATCTGTAAAATGTATTTGGGTGAATGGTAACTAATAAGAATTTTAAAGCTGAAAAGTTGCAACTTATACTTTTGGGGGATAATAAGATAATGCAATCATAATAGGATTTTATCAAGTGTGTTTTTATTACAAAAATGTGTGTTACTTAGAAAACATACACACTTCCTGCAACATCTGTGGATTCTGTTCATAATGGTAATATAACTCGGAAAAAAACTATAATAATTTAGACTAGCAAATCAAGGGACTAAATCTTCTTAAAATGCATGGTATAATTGTGTCTTGTTAATTTTTAATAGGAGTTTAAAGCATTTTCCTAAGTAAGAGTGATAAGGGCACTTTGTTATGTTGTTTTACAATTAGTGGATTCTTAATATTTTAGTCTGGGCATTTTTCTTAATTTATTTACCTGTTTTTACATCTCCTGAGTGTATTTATCCCAAAATATTTTAATCATTATTGTAAACATATACAGCAGAAAATGAAGTAGCTTAACATTATTTTTAATTCTACAGACAACAGATATACTGGGCCCAATTCTGCCACCTCAAAGCAAGCAAAACAACTTAAGCCCAATGGCTGATTTGTTGTTTAAGGACTGCAGGATTGGGCCCTTTTATTTAATAATGTTAAGGTATTTGGGGGTTTTAGATGAAAACTGTTCCTTTAAAACACAATAAAATACCTGGCAACATCTGCCCTCTAACTTGCTTTGTCGATTAGTACAGACACTCTCAAGAAATCTGTGAGCATTTATTTAAAGCCATACTGAATGCTGCTGAATTGTTAGCTAAAAATAGACAGAACCGATGAAAATATGCCTACATTCAGTTTATGGTCATTTGGTTCGACCTTTTAATTCTGTGCCAGATGAAAAGAATCAAAGGATTTATGTATGTGATGAGATGTTAGGTTCTTACAATAGGAGAAAGTGGAAAATATCTTCTTGAAAATAATAATTATTAACTACTCAGCACTTAACATCTTTATTGTGTTTTTTATAAGCATTTGGTAAAGAAAAAGACAAAGAAAAGAAGCTAGATGATGACAGCACCAGCGCATCAGTCCCCCAATCAGCTTTCTTGGGGCCAACGTTATGGGACAAGACGCTGCCATATGATGGAGACACTTTCCAGTTGGAATACATGGACCTGGAAGAATTCCTCTCGGAAAATGGAATTCCGCCCAGCCCAGCCCAACATGACCACAGTCCACACCAGCCAAATCTCCAGCAAGCTACCTCAGCAGCACCCTCTGTCATGAACCTCAGCAGCAGGGCATCTACATCAATCCATCCGGGCATGGTGTCTCAAAATTGCATGCAGAGCCCAGTCAGACCAGGTAATCATCCATAAGACCTTCCCTAGAGGTTCTCAAATGAGACACGTAAACAAATGAAAAAAGTAAATAATTATTTCTGACTGCGTGATTGACACTGGCAACATAGAGAAGTCCAACATGAAGCAAGTCATTGGCAGGGCCAATAATAACAATGAGGACTGTCAAGCCGTTAAAAAAATTAATCATGATTAATTGCACGATTAAAAAGATTAATCGCATGATTAACCGCACTGTTAAACAATAATAGAATACCATTTATTTAAATATTTTTGAATGTTTTCTACATTTTCAAATATTTTTATTTCAATTACAACACAGAATACAAAGAGTACAGTGCTCACTTTATATTTATTTTTGCTTACAAGTGTTTGCACTGTAAAAAAACAAAAGAAATAGTATTTTTTTCAGTTCACCTAATACAAGTACTGTAGTGCAGTCTCTTTATGATGAAAGTTGAACTTACAAATGTAGAATTACATAAAAAAAAAAACCCCAAAC